GATAAGTCTTAAGAATCACCAGGCCTTGTTTCCATAGCTGGATAGCTTTTATTACTTACTCTTCAGCCTGTTGGACAGTTCCTTTTTCAGACACATAGATAGCATCCAAAATTTTTCAGATATCCTTCTTTTTAACTGTTGTGGCTTGCTGAATGAAAGCAGCTGAATTTGACACAAGTTCAATGTCATTTCCTTCAAGAATTAATTCATCTTTCTGGGCTTGAGATACTGAACATGCAACACCTGCTCTCATCTGAACCCTACAAATGTTACTTTTCACCCAAGAAGTTTCGGATTTCAACAAGAGACCTGCTCTGTTGGATAACAACGTTAATGGGGAAGTGAGCATACACAGACCTCATCTTGTAACGGAAGCCTAGGCTAACGCCCTTGATCATATTCTGCACGTAACATACAGATGGTGTGGACTGTAGCCAGTTCCTTTCTGTCTCCCCACCATTTGTCAATGTGAAGTCTCTCCTTTTTCTTCCCAAGGAGACTGAATTCTACATTGATGTGATTGAAGTCCCTCTGCAGGGTTCCTCTGGGGCCCTTCACAATAATTATGTGTCCCTTTACACTGATGTCAACGTTCTCCAGAATGTCGACAGTCTGGTTGCTGAGAATGGTCTTCATTCTCATAGTAGATGCAGCAAAGAAAACCTATTCACTTTTTTAAAGAAAAAGAACTTTCTAGTTTGAGTTCAGTGAAGATTTACAGACAAGATCGTCAGCTTTTCATTTAACAAATTATACACTTGGCTTCATCTCAATGATTACAATCCCCTCCCTGCAGTAGTAGTCACCCCACTTCCTCCCTGTGGTTCTCCATTTATGTCTTTTATTTCACAAATAAGCAAAGCAAAAATATTTGATGTGCACATACAAAACAAAAAATATATATATTCATTTAAATGTCCATTCATTTAAATGCACATTCTACAAGCCAGCCTTCTGCCCACAGGCACACAGCCTTACTCAGTCCATGGACCTAGAGTCTGCAGCTGCTCTGTCTCTCCATGTCACTGACTCTGTCACCATCTCTGCTGTCACCACTTTTGCAGGCAGGGATCCCCTACTCCACTCATGCTCTTCCTTAATGATGGAATCATCTGTTTCTCCAATAATGAATGATTAACTACTCCCCACTTTTAGTTACAAATCTTCTACAATTACAGTTTTAACAATCAGGAGAACTATTCAGTGGGGATTCAAACTTACTCCTTCATTCTGAAACTAAGCACACCCATGAAAGCTTGTAAGCCAGCCACTTAATACCTTTATAGCCCCCCCCCCAAATAAAATTGATAGCCAATGTCTAAATTTCCCGTTCCTATCACAAGGTCAGAGTCCTGGTGTGGCACTGTGGGTTAATGTGCCAGACTGCAAAGCTGTTTGAACTGCAAGGTCTGTGTGGTTCAGTCTCACTAGCTGTTCCTCAGAAACCCCATAAAGGGTCACTGTGGGTCAAAACCAACTCGATGGCATTTAACAACAACAACAATCATTTTATTGACAATACTCCGTACTCTTTTTATAAACTATTTTTTAATATGTACATATAATTCTTATTTCTCTTATATTCATTTCTTATGGCTGTTTAACAAATTATAGCACAATGGGTATCTTATAAAACAGAAGTTATTATCCCACAATTCTAGGAACTAGGAATCCATAATCGTGGGCTCATCTGTGTTAATTCTCTCTGAGGGAGAATCTGTGCTATACCTGTCTCCTAGGTTCTGGTGGCTCCTGACGCATCACGTTGGCATTCCTTGGCTTGCAGCTGCATCACACACATTTCTGCCTGTTACATGGCTGTCTTCCCTCTGTCTCATCTGCATATTGTGTTGCCTGCATATTGCAGGTTGTTAATGAGTTTTCCTTCAATCCTGATGCTGTATTCTTATAGTCCAGTTTATCAGATTATTTGCTCAGCATATAGATTGAGTAAATATGGTGAAGGATATAACCCTGTTGCATACCTTTTCTGATTTTTAACCATGCAATATGCCCTTGTTCTGTTCTAACGACTATTTCTTGGTCTATGTAAAGTTTTGTGTGAACATCATGAAGTATTCTGAAATTCCATTCTTTACAATTTTACCCATACATTGTTATGATTCACACAGTCTAATGCCTTTTCACAATCAGTAGAACACAGATAAAACACCTTTCTGGGGTTCTCTTCTTTCAACAAACATCCATCTGACATCAGTAATGATATCCCTCATTTCATATCATCTCTTCTGAATCTGGCTTGAATTTCTGACAGCTCCTTGTCAGTGTCCTGCTATAACCATTTTTAAATTTCTTCAACAAAACTTTTTCCATATTCTGTTGGATCACATTTCTTTGGAATGGGCACAAATATTAATTTCTTCACGTCAGTTGGCATAGATGAGTGAGTGTTTCCAGCATAGCATCAGTTTGTTGAAGCATCTCAGTTGGTATTTTATCAGTTCCTAGAACTTTGTTTTTCACAGATGCCTTCAATACAGCTTGGAGTTCTTTCTTCAGTACCATCAATTCTTAATCATATGTACAAGTTCCACCGTTCCTGAAATGGTTGAACATCGACTCATTCTTTTTGGCACAGTGATTCGGTGTATTACTTCTATCTTTCCTTGGTGCTCCCTGCCCATGGAATCCTTCAATACTGCAACTCGAGGCTTGCTTTTCTCTTCAGTTTTTTCAGCATGAGAAATGCCAAGCAAGTGTGTTCTTCCCTTTTGGTTTTCTCATACCAGATCTTTGCATATTTCATTATAATACTTGACTTTTAAATATGGCAAATAATCAAAAAATGCTTTTAAATACTCAGTGGACCAAACATCATATGAGGGGGCTTCAAAAAGTCCATGGTACCATTCCATTATCTTTTAATTCCACTTTTCTGTGAACTTTCTAAAGCCCCCTTTCATATCTGTGGATCACTAATGTTCCATCTCTAGTTTACACAGATATGAGAAAAAGGTAGCAATCGTTGACATTTCTCAGATGCCTGAAACAATGTCCCTGTGTGTTTAATTCCGATCTCTAGCCCCCACACCATTGCTAGAGGAACATTTTTACGGATAAGAACATTGAGACCTGGTGGTGTTGGTGGTGTGCCGTGGAGTCAGTTCCAATTCATAGACACCGTGTCTTATGGAGCCTACTACTCTCCTGCTTAGACCAGAATGTTGTTGTTGTTAAGTGCTATCGAGTCGGTTCTGACTCATAGCGACTCTGTGTAGTTTCTGAGGAGCAGCTGGTGAGCTTGAACAGCCAACCTTGCAGTTGAAAGCATCCCTTTTGTTTTCTAATTTATTATTTATTAAAAATAAGCATTTATTTTCTAACATAAATGTTTATTGGAGCATAAAGTCTCATCTTTCTCCTGCAGAACAGCTGGTAGTTTTGAACTTCTAACCTTGAGGTCAACAGCACGAGACAAATGATTTACCGAGAGGTTGCCCAGTTGATTTGAGGTACGGCATGCAGTTAATTGGACCCAGTAGTTCTCTGACACTAAAGTCAATGCTTGTCTTGGTGCCCCAGCCTGAAGTCAGGTATTGTGGTGGAAGGAAGGCAGGGTCTGCCTTAGTTGGCAGAGATTGGAAAAGTTCCCCTAAGGATGGTAACGGACTCCTGGTGTGGCACTGTAGGGTCAGCACTGGACTGCAAACCACAAGGTCGATCGGCAGTTCAAACCCACCAGTTGCTCCTCAGAAACCCTACGCAGGGTCACTGTAAGTTGAAACTGACTCGACGGCACTTAACAACAGGGATGGTAAGAAACCAGTGATTCAAGGAATAGCTGTGGGCACATGTGTGATCAGGTGTGCCTGATGCTATATGGAAGGAAGGTAAAGCCCCTATCCTAGAAGACTCCCATTCACTGAACATCAGGAAGCCACCGGAGGTTTGGGAGCAGATGGTAACCTGAGTGACACTGTAGAAAGGCTCATCTGGCACCAACTTTGAGAAACAGTGAATGAGGTACAATCATATTTACCTGCTTTTACCCAAGGAAACTGTGGTTTAATAAACTGAGGGACTTACCTTAGGTCCCAAGGCCTAGTGGCATGGCCATGACTAAGACCAAGGTGTTCCTGTTCTTGACCAATGCTCTTAGTTTTAAAATTGTCTTTAGTGTTTTTAAAATATGAAAGTACACAGCATGCCAAACACTGTTTGCGCCTTCCTGCCCTATCCCTAAATAGACACCGTGAGCAATTGTGATCTTTATCTGTAGCTCCAAACATTCCTAGGTTCCATGCAGATCCTCACATGGTGTCTGTCTTCCTCCATGTATGTTTCTCTGTGTCTCTGGTGTGGCGCTGTGGGCTAATGTGCTGGACTGTAAGGTATGCTTTCAACTGCAAGGTTGGCTATTCAAGCTCACCAGCTGCTCCTCAGAAACCCTACACAGGGTCGCTATGAGTCAGAACCAACTTGACAGCACTTAACAACAATAACATTCTGGTCTAAACGGGAGAGTAGCAGGCTCCATAAGACAAGCATTGGACTGCAAATCACGAGTTTAGTGGTTCGAGTCCACCGGCTGCTCTGAGGAAAACAGATGAGACTTTCTTCTCCCTTAAAGATTTACAGCCTCAGAAACCCTATATTGGGTTAGTACCAACTCAAGGGCACCTAACAACAATGACATTCTGGTCTAAAAAGATAATGAAGAAGAACAAAGCAGATGGGAGAACAATTAGGCAGGTTTACATGGGCTAAGTGGGACAGAGGTAAAGAATGATGTATGCACAACCTTGGAGCAACAGGACTCTAGGATACAAGGATTGAGACATGGTTAGAATGGGAAAAAGGGGGAAAATAATGTTAAGATGCTTGGCTGTCTTTTGAATCTTGGTTTCCCTGGCATACCGTTATAAAATAGGGACTGGAGGGGGAGGGAAAGGACTAGGCAGAAATATCACCATAGAAAGCTTGTAAGTCCGTCTTCTGCCTATAACTGATTGGAATACCTAAAACGGGACTACAACGTGGCCAGTGAAGGAGGCTTCCTGCAGAGCCTCTGCATTACATAAGACCCTAGGTGGAATCATGAACAGCATCCAGAATCTTCAGAGTTGGAAAATTGCCACTGGAAAGGACAAGCAGACCAGCCTGGAGCAGCTAGAAGAACTGAAGACACTTCTTGAAAGAAAGACCTACAGGAAAAATACAAAACAGTATAGGCAGACTGTCTGATTACTACAAGAACAAGCAAGTTGCTCGCCCAGGAGACATCAAGGCAAGTGGTCGGGTCCCCTCAGGGCAAACCCCCTTC